CTTCCTCGTGCCGCATTCCTCCTCGTCCTGCCCTCTCATCCTCCTCTTCCTCCTCCTCCTCCTCCTCCTCCTCCTTGTCCTCCTCCTCCTCCTCCTCTCCTCCTCCTCCCTCCTCTCCCCCCTCATCATCATCATCATCATCATCATCATCATCATCATCATCATCATCATCATCATCATCATCATCATCATCATCATCATCATCATCATCATCATCATCATCATCATCATCAATCATCATCATCATCATTCATGAACAACATCTTCATGGTGCCGCATTCCTCCTCCCTCCTCCCCCTCCTCCTCCTCCACGTCGTCCCCCTCCCCCTCCTCTCTTTCTTCCCCGTCCTCCTCGACCTCCGCCTCATCCTCCTCCTCCTGTTCCTCCTCCTCGTCCTCCTCCTACCCCCAAGATGGTCCCAGGAGGTCGAGCACAGCTCAAGATAACCGCCGACAGACCTCCAAGAGGCCTCAAGACAGCCACAAGACTGCCCAACATAGCTGAGCATGACTAAGGATACTCCAACAGACCTCCAAGTAGCCTCCGACAGCCCCCAGCCGAACATAGATCACGATGGCCTCCAAGAGGCCTCAAGACAGCCCCAGATCGTGCCTGGATGGGCTGGTGGGGATAGGCAAAGCGTCGATCATTGGACGTTCCCAGTGGCCCTCGCTTGCTGCTAATACTGTTCAAGGCGAGGCGGTGGGAGCGCCTGAGGGAATCCTTTGGGGCCTTTTTAGCCTGGAGCCCCTATTCTGCTCGTGGGCCGTCGCATACCTCCAAGAGTTCATCAACCAAAGGCGAGGCACTGTGGCTCAACTCCCCCGTGCCTGCTGACGATCATTGTATGTGCATGTGCTAGGGATGGGAAGGAAGAGGAGGAGGAGGAGGAGCATGAGGAGGAGAAAGAGGAGGAGGAGATGAACAAGGAGAAAGAGAACAAGGATAATGAGAAGTTTCAGACTCATCGTCTTAGTCGACGACCGACCGACCGAGGAGGAGGTGGAGGAAAAAAAATAAGAATAGTAATGCGAATGAGAAGAAGACGAATAAAAAGAAAACCGACCCAAAATGCATCAACGATTCTATACTACACCCTCCCGTCCCAAGAGCCGTTCTCAAACGACCGTGTCAGCACGACCAGTTCATTGCGGACGCGCCCTTTGAAAAGATGAGCGTCCCATGGGCCAATCACTCAGGCAAAAAAATGTTTTGAACACGATCCGCCCTCCGTTCTTCATAAAATTATCCTGGCGAAGGACCCAACCATATGCAGTTGTGAGTATCGCAATTGTGAGTATCTTCTTCGGTGGCGCTCCCTATGGGGCCACGAACCGCATGAGGGGTGTGCCGAAATGTGGCGGGGTACACAACGCAAAGGAATACGATAGATCTGATTACGAGAGAAAGAACGCGGGTGAGTCAGAGCGCGAGGGAATCTGAGTATGAATGGGTCTGCGCGCGAGTGAATATATTTGCATGAATGCGATCATGGAACCGCCTAGTGTAAGTGTCGAGCATGCCTGTCCGAACACACGTGACACTGGGCGTGGCCGCCGCAGGCAGCTTCCGCGGGAACCCCGACGGCAGCGTCCGCACGTCGCGACGCCCATGTCGGCACGCCTCTTGCGAGGATCGCGCCCGCTTTCGGCTCTTCTTTTCCTTCCTCTTTGCCCGCGCACTCCAAAATCCAAGGCTGCGGGCGCAGCGCAGCGCGGAGTCCCCGCGACGCGCGCTGGTCGCCCCGGGCGGGGTCCCAGCGACGCGCGCGGGTCGTCCGCTGCGCGAAGCAGAGAGAGCTGACTAGCTAACTGGCTGGCTGATAGCGGGCAAGTCTCTGACCGCTGGGCAGAGCGACGACGGGCGAACGAGGCGCCGGGCCCCCCGCAGCACGGAGTTCCCGCGACGCGCGCTGGTCGCCCCGAGAGGGTCCCAGCGACGCGCGCGGGTCGTCCGCGGCGCGAGGCCAAACAATTAGTCGGGCAGTCGAGAGAAGGCGCGGCTCGGGGGAGACGCTCCTCAGGTCAGGCCTCGCGGATGAACTCGGTGAAGCCGAGCTCCCTGGCGAGGGCCGTCGCTTCCCTCCTGCACCGCTTCGTGCGCGCCGCAAACTGCTCCAGCTGCTTCCGCAAGCCCTGCGGCGGCCCTGCCAGGAAGAACTCGATGCGCGGCGCCCGCATGAGCAGGAGGTCCTCGTGGCGCGTGGCGCGCGAGAGCAGCACGTAGAGCTCCAGCCACCAGTCGTCGTCCTCCTTCTTGCCGTTCCCTACCTCGTGGCGGCCGCAATCCAGGATCACGCCTGGGCGACGTCGACCGAGGGAGCAGCGCGCCGGGCAGCCGACGGCCCAGGGCGAGAGTCCACAGGACCGAGAGATGGTCTGGCCGCGGACTGCTCGCGCCCCGGAGGTCTGGCCGCCCCCGGAGCGCCGTTCCCCCGCCCCGTCGCCTTCGCGCATGGTGCGCCCCTGGCACGCCACCGTGGTGATGACCCTGCCGTGCGAGAAATGCGGGGGGTGTGCCGAAATGGGTGGGGGTGACGCATGCGGGCGGCGGCCTGAGGCCTTCGGTGGAGGAGCCACGACGTGTGAGGGGTGTGCCGAAATGGGTGTGGGGGACGCATGCGGCCGCGGGCACTGGGGCCTTCGGTGGAGCTCCCTATGGAGCCACCGTGTGAGGGGTGTGCCGAAATGGGGTCTGGCCGCGGATGTCGCCTTCGCGCATGGTGCGCCCCTGGCACGCCACCGTGGTGATGACCCTGCCGTGCGCGGGGGGGGTGCCGAAATGGGTGGGGGTGACGCATGCGGGCGGCGGCACTGGGCCTTCGGTGGAGCTCCCTATGGAGCCACGAAACGTGTGAGGGGTGTGCCGAAATGGGTGTGGGGACGCATGCGGCCGCGGGCACTGGGGCCTTCGGTGGAGCTCCCTATGGAGCCACGAAACGTGTGAGGGGTGTGCCGAAATGGGTGTGGGGGACGCATGCGGCCGCGGGCACTGGGGCCTTCGGTGGAGCTCCCTATGGAGCCACGAAACGTGTGAGGGGTGTGCCGAAATGGGTGTGGGGGACGCATGCGGCCGCGGGCACTGGGGCCTTCGGTGGAGCTCCCTATGGAGCCACGAAACGTGTGAGGGGTGTGCCGAAATGGGTGTGGGGGACGCATGCGGCCGCGGGCACTGGGGCCTTCGGTGGAGCTCCCTATGGAGCCACGAAACGTGTGAGGGGTGTGCCGAAATGGGTGTGGGGGACGCATGCGGCCGCGGGCACTGGGGCCTTCGGTGGAGCTCCCTATGGAGCCACGAAACGTGTGAGGGGTGTGCCGAAATGGGTGTGGGTGACGCATGCGGGCGCGGGCACTGGGGCCTTCGGTGGAGCTCCCTATGGAGCCACGAAACGTGTGAGGGGTGTGCCGAAATGGGTGTGGGGGACGCATGCGGCCGCGGGCACTGGGGCCTTCGGTGGAGCTCCCTATGGAGCCACGAAACGTGTGAGGGGTGTGCCGAAATGGGTGTGGGGGACGCATGCGGCCGCGGGCACTGGGGCCTTCGGTGGAGCTCCCTATGGAGCCACGAAAGGGGTGTGCCCGCATGCACTGGGGGGTGGAGGAGCCACGAAACGTGTGAGGGGTGTGCCGAAATGGGTGTGGGGACGCATGCGGCCGCGGGCACTGGGGCCTTCGGTGGAGCTCCCTATGGAGCCACGAAACGTGTGAGGGGTGTGCCGAAATGGGTGTGGGGGACGCATGCGGCCGCGGGCACTGGGGCCTTCGGTGGAGCTCCCTATGGAGCCACGAAACGTGTGAGGGGTGTGCCGAAATGGGTGTGGGGGACGCATGCGGCCGCGGGCACTGGGGCCTTCGGTGGAGCTCCCTATGGAGCCACGAAACGTGTGAGGGGTGTGCCGAAATGGGTGTGGGGGACGCATGCGGCCGCGGGGAGGCAGCGGGAGGAAGGAAGGAGGGAGAACGCGGGGCACCGTCTCTTCAAAACGAGGACCCAACACCACAGGATGGTTGGGAACAAAGACATAGAGCCCGACATCCATGCAGCGGTTTCTCAACTGAATGTCTGGCTAGAAGAATATAACATGTGGCCGATCCCAAACATGGAACCCAGCACCGCGCAACGATTTCAGATGTTTCAAACTATGCGCGCGGCCCTAGAGCGAGAAACACGTTTGAGAAACGACCAGCCCTCCCTTCGTGCAACGGTTGGAAATCCAGCGCACAAGTGGTGAGGAGGGCATCATGGCGAACCGCCTGACCCGCCCTGCCGCCACGCCCGGTGGTGCGACGAGGACTGACTCGGTGCCACGCCCGGTGGCGGTGCCGCCACGCCCGGTGGTGCCACGCCCGGTGGTGGCATGAGCTAGAAAACAAAAACCATAAACATAAACTTTTGGCGCTCTGCGAGGATTTCTTTGATCTGCGCTGGACCCCCTCCCTAGCGCGCGGAGCACGCCAGGGGCGGCGCCAGAGGCGCCGACGGGGGGCCCCAGCGCAGATCTCAAAAATCCGCGCGGAGCGCTAAAAGTTTATGTTTGTGGTGTTGTTTCTTCTTCGAGGAGCGCGGACGCTGTGCTGTGTCGAAGAGGTCGCATCCAACGGTGGTGGCACGATGGCGAACAAACAACTGCAACAAAAACTTGGCACAGAGAGTGAGGCCAAGCAGGGGGGCAGAGGCGGCACGCCCTGAGTCCTCGCCCCCCGCTTGCTCCGACGTCGATCCTCGGTCCTGGAGCCTTCTAACCTCGATCCTGGACCCTCGAACCTCCAACCTCGACCCTCGACCCTCAAACCTCCAGCGTCGATCCTCGACCCTCGACCATCGACCCTTGACCCTCGATCCCCCCAAACATGCACTGTCTTGCTTCTTTCAATACGGGACCCCCGGAAATCCCGATCCTTACCCCAGGGCCATGTTCTCCGTCGTGTTTATTGATGACGCGAGCTCGTCTGGGTCCTCTGACCTCGGTCGAGAAGCCACCCCTGCGCGAAAAGCGCTCCTGCCGCCGCCCTTGGACTTCTTCATCTCGCTCGCCTTCGACTGGAGGCCGACGTAGATGCACATGACCTGGCTGCCGACGGCACTGGCTCCGCCAACGTTTTCGTCATCCCGCTGATGCTGCTGGCACGATCACGAAGGAAACGGGCAATGAACGAAAAGAGCTCTAGACGTATGCCGCCGTTGTCCACTCACTGAGGCCCTCAATGGGCCCTGGGACCGCCCATAAGATACAAAAAGGTGGTCCTGGGGGGAAACCATGGGGTCTCGAACCCTGAGTTTTGTAGGGGGCAAGTCTTGAAACATGTTCGTCGTAAGAACGACTAATGGCCCTTGCGCCCGATTGAAGGCCCCTGAGCCGGAGCAAGCCCGAAATCATACTGAACCGGGGAATCAAGCCGGACTCAACAATATTAAGCGGGATTCTTTCAGACGAAGATCTGTCGGATTCGACCAGTTTTTTCGACTACGGAATGCCCAGCACCGATGCTGCATTGGACCTCCCAAGAATTGCATCCGAACGACAGCACAGGCGCCGGACACGTCTTGTCCTCCAGCTGATGCCACTATCAGGACGAAGCTAGGACTGGAACAACATCGGACCAGGACAAATCGGGGGATCTCTGAGACCTGACAGCTCTGCAAAAGAATCGGGCGCCGCGGCCGTTCCAGAGCGCTGAGGAACCCTCCGAGAGCGTTCGGGCAAACGCTGGAGCGATAGATCCCAGTCCCGGCCCCGCCCAGGCTCGAAGAACATCGGCGTACCCCGTGCCAAGAGCATGTCACTGCAAGGACACTTGCGGAATCCACATTTCCATGAGATGTATGTTCCGCTGCTCGCCATGGAGGAAACGCGAGGATAAAACAGGGCTAGGATCGGGATAAATCGCTCCAGAGCGTTCCGGAGCGCTCTCAGAGCGTTCCGGAACGCTCTGGAGCGGCCGCGGCGCCCAATACATCCTCCAAACCCGCCGATTCTCAGAGATTTCGAGATATCCCGATCCGATTTTGTCCCGATCTTCGCGTCGTTTGAGAGGAGCATGAGGAGAGAGGAGGAGGAAGGGATGAGGCTGGGACGGTTCGACAGAGCGCTCACTCGACTGGCTGGCGCCCAAACGCACCCGCAGTGCGCTCTGCCGGACCAAAGCCGTCGGAGGGCGAGGGAGAGGGCAGGGACCATGGAATCCTCAGAGGACGTCGGGGGGAGTGATCCGGCATGGGACTTCGGGTGACTTCGCAGCAGGACCGAGCGGAGAGAGGAGGGGGGAGCGAGGGGGGAGGAAGAGAAGGAGAGGAGGACTGTGCGGGAGATGGGAGAGAACGGAGGGCAAATGTCAAGGGTTCGTACTGGGAGGTCAGGGGGGATTCCCGCCTCCCTTCTCATCTTGGTCGTTATCGTCCTACTCCTGCCGATCCACTCGTCCTCTCCCCTGCTAATCCCCTCCTCCTCCTCGTGCTGGTATTCAGCGACGTTTTCCTCATGCGACAATTTCCTCCTGCTCTTCGTCCTCCCCCCCCTCCTCAGTACCGCTCCTCACCATTCTCGTCCACTGTTCCCCCGTTCCCTCCTCCGAGTTCTCAACCCCCCACACGTTTCCCTCCCTCCCTCCATTATCCGCCTCTGAGGATTTGGAGGAGCTGGGCTTCCCTTTGCCCCTCGTTCCCCTCCTCCTCATCCTCCGTTCAGTCAACAGATTTCGTCGGGCGCTGCCCAGCGTGGAGGTGAGACTCCTGTGGGGTACTGGCTGAGCTGGAACCCTTCAGTGCACTTAATTTGCAGGAGTAAGGGGAAGCCCTGGATCAACAGCAGGCTCTTGCAGAGCTCGACCGCGCATACAACTTATAGAGATGAGATAAGACTGGTGGGCCACCAGCTCCGTTGGGCGACTGCGCGGCTTGACCGCGGTGCCCGAGTGGCAGAGAATTCTGGGGCGAAGGCGAAGCTCCAGGACTCCCGCGCTCCGCTGGCTCGCAGGCGACGGCGGCCAGAGTGAAGCGTCATGTGTGGCCCCTGTGCTGCGGCCTCTCCTCGTCTGCTCCAGGCCTCGGAACAAATTGGCGAACACTCATGATGCCACATTCGTCTGTCAACGGCCCCCCCTCCCCCCGATGTGCAAAGTTGGCGGTGGGTCTGATGAGATGCACTGCGACCGCAGGTTCCCCCGCGCGTGCCAACGTTGAGGTTGGGGGGGAGGGGGAGTGTTCAGTAATCGTTTCCCTCTACCGTCTCTCTATTCCCCAGTCAGTGCTTGCATTGAAGGGTTCCTCCAGCGAATGTTGCAAGATTTGACGAACAAAAAACCCAGCCGATTGCGGCAAGCGGCCCGGCTCCCGGGTTCCCTGTTCCGGGTCCCCCGGTTGCCGGCTGCCGGCTCCGGGCCGATGTCGGCGGGCGGCGGGGCTTCCAGGTTCGAGGGTTCCAGGGTTCTTGGTCGATATCCTAATCGATCGGTCTCACCAACGATCTCATTGCCCACCTCACAGTCGATCTCACTGTCGAATTCACATTCAGAGTCGAGCTCACCACAGATCGCACGAGCGATCTCACGATCGAGCTCATTGAATCGACTTCACTATCGGTCTCACGATCGAAGTGCTATAATCGTTCTCACTATCGATCCCGCTATCGATCACACTATGGATCGCACACTCGATCTCAATATCCATATCACTAATTTTCAAACCGTCCGCTGATTGGGCGTTTCTGTGGTGTGATATCCGTTCCTCCCTGCCCCTCTCTGCTCCCCCCAGTCATCACTTCCTCTGCTCCCACGCTTTGTTGGTTTCAGCACTCTAAGGGGAGCGGCGGGGGGGTATTTCACTCGGCCCCTTTCGCGGGATTTTGTGGGGATGTCTCAGGCGGTTTGGCCATTTTCTCTTCCAACATGTTTCGCTTTTGGAGCAGATTTGGAGGATGTCTCAAGCGATTCGCTGGTTTCAGCACTCCAAGGGGAACGGCGGGGGGGTATTTCACTCGGCCCCTTTCGCGGGATTTTGCGGGGATGTCTCAGGCGGATTGGCCATTTTCTCTTCCAACATGTTTCGCTTTCGGAGCAGAGTTGGAGGACGTTCGCGCCCAGTTTGCGGGGATGTCTCAGGCGGTTTGGCCGTTATGATGCTGGGCATCTGTCGTTTTCGGAGCAGTTTTGGGAGGATGGCTCAGGCGATTTGCTGGTTTCAGCACTCCCAAGGAGGAGGAGGAGGAGGAGGAGGAGGAGGAGGAAGAGGAGAAGGAGGAGGAAGCGAGGAGGAGGAGGAAGAGGACGAGGAGGAGGAGGAGGAGGAGGACAGCATGAACACGGTAGGAGCGAAAGCAGGAAGGGGAGGATGATGATGATGATGATGAGGAGGACGTGGGCAACTCGAGTAGCCAGGGCCAGACGATCGAGGTTCGATGTTCCAAGGCTTTAGGTTTTACTCAAACGATTCCGCCTCACTCTCCTTCGCTCTCCGCTCTCCTTCACTCTTCTGCAATCATACTCACTCATGCTCAGACTCAGTCACACGCAGGCTCACTCGCACTTAGACTCGCTCATATCCATACTTAAACTTACTCACGCTCAGACTCACGCTCAGAACCACTCATACTCGGACTCGCTCCTGCTCAGACTCATCATCCTTCGGTCCGCTCAAACGCAGACCGACTCACACTCAGACTGCCTCACATCCATACCCAATCACGCTCGGCTCACTCGCACTCATATTCATTAACACACACTTTTTCTCACACTCAGACCCACTCAAGCCCAGACTCACTCATGCTCAGACTCATCCTGCTGCGATCCGCTCAGTCACAGACTGCTTCACACTCAGATTCGTCCATACTCAGACCCACTCGCACACAGACGCACTCGCGCTCACATTTACTCACACGCATACCCACTCAAACCCAGGCTCAATCGCACCCAGATTAACTCACACTCAGAATCAGTCGCTCTCAGTCTTGCTTTTGGTCGCACTCATGCTTGCAGACTGTGGGAATGTCTCGAGCGAGCGGCTCGCCCTCACACACAGGCGCTCATTGACAGGTATCAATAGAAAGACGTACCAAGATAATGGGATACACATATGGGAAGCCCCGCGTCGAGCAACTATTGGCGGACCGCGCCGGAGGAACAGAGAGAGAACACATCACCACCTCACCTCCTCTCACTCAAACGCCCCTCAGACTCAGTCATCGGTCAAACTCCCTCATCACTCAGACTCAGTCAGTCACTCGGACTCACTCATCACTCAGACCCACTCATCACTCAGACTCACTCATCACTCAGACCCACTCATCACTCGGACTCAGTCATGACTCAGACTCATGGCTCATCACTCAGACTCACTCATCACTCAGACTCACTCATCACTCAGACTCACTCATCACTCAGACTCACTCGTACTTGTACTCATACATCCACTACACTCACTCAGGTCCACTCATCGGATGATTCACACACACTGATGTTGAGGATGTCTTGGGCGATTCTGTGGCTTGAACACTCCTAAGGGGAGCGGCGGGGGCGTATTGCACTCGGCCCCTTTCGCGGATTGTTGTGGGGATGTCTCAGGCGGTTTGGCCATTTTCTCTTCCAACATGTTTCGCTTTCGGAACAGTTTGCAAGGATGTCTCAGGCGATTCGCTGGTTTCAGCACTTAAGGGGGGCGGCGGGGGGGTATTTCCCTCGGCCCGTTCCGCGGATTTGTGTGGGGATGTCTCAGGCGGTTGTGCCTTTTTCTTCTCCAACATGTTCCGCTTCCGGAGCACACTTGGAGGAGGAGGAGGAGGAGGAAGGAGGAGGAGGAGGAGGAGGAGGAGGAGGACCACAGGAGGAGGAGGAGGAGGAGGAGGAGGAGGAGGAGGAGGAGGAGGAGCAGGACCAGAGGGAGGATGGGAAAGGATGATGAGGAGGAGGCAGGGGAGGCAGGAGGACGGCAAGTCTTCTCTCTTCCTCTTTTCCTTCATTCCGACGGATGAGGAGGAGGAGGAGGAGGAGGAGGAGGAGGAGGAGGCGGAGCCAGGTGGCTGAGGGGAGGTGTAGGAGGAGGAAGAGGTGGAGAAGGAGGAGGAGGAGGAGGACCAG